AAAACCCTTTTGCCAAGCCAGGGAATTCTGTTTAGTCACCCACAAACGGAGTGCTGACATAAGCCGTTGAAGCACTATGAATTTCGTCTCCAACGAAATCAGATGACCACTCATTCAACGCTTCAGCATATATTTTTCAAGTTGCAGACAGAAGAGTACACAGAATAAACCAAAAAGCTTCAAAGCCTAATTGCTACTTGCGAACCTTAAGTATTCCTGTTTTCATGGAGGCGATTACGCGCTAGCGTGTCATACCAATGAGGGCCATATAAGTCAATAGTGTATGCTGGTTGATTGAATCAATTGATCATAAACTGTGAAACACTCATGTCTCCGCTTCCGATTTCTCAAGAAACCGCTGAAATGACTGACCGGAGTGCTGATAAATCGAACCACCAGTTTGTGCTTGAATGCCATTCGCCTCAACATCAGTCAATGTATCGGCGATCAAAGAACACTGGACACCACCAGTACATGCTACAGCATCCGGATACTCGGTGGTGCCTGAATGTGCTACAGATGTCACCGCCTCATGTTCGGTCATCACAATAGGCTTCATCTCCTGATGAAGACTACTGGCTTCCAAGGAAGCGCAATCCGTCAGAAGCTCCGCAGACATGTGTCGGAACGGATCTATAGTGGCCGCACTAATCTAAATTAAGAAGCAATCCGCTGTCTCTAAGTATGGTGCAGATGACATGTAGTGCAACTTTTCACCATGATGATGTGTGCCAGTCCGAAGTGATATGAAATATTTGTCAGTAACGCGCACATTCACTAAGCCTACTTGAGCGGAAATAGAAAACTGTGGGCTCGGAATGTACTGCCACTTAATCTGCCCCGATACATCGAACTGATGACTTTTATCGTGAATGGGGTCATCTATACAGTGTCTTAAATCCAAACTCCTCCCTGATTGTTCCCGATTGAAATGGCCTATCGTATGATTCTTTTCCAACTCCAGTCGCAACTCAACCAACTTTATTTCATCCTCAGCAACAAGTAGTTTTGTCTCTCTATCTCTAACATGGATAACAATTGCTCCTTTTTTCAATTCGACAATCTTAGATGCAATAACTGCATCTCGATGACTAAGGTTAGCATAAATCTTGCGACTAACCTGTGAACTAGAGCACCAAATAGTATCATCATAACTACCAGTGACCTACTGGTATCTACCAACATTCACGGAGTTTCCAGAGCGATTATTCCTGTATAGCATGATCCAACGTGGTCATTCAACAGTGGTTGAGCCTTGTATTCCAGATATCAAATTTCACTCCATAACCAGAAATATCATTGAGTTGGACTCCAAAGCTTGTTGATAGCGGCGCTCAACCCTTCACTCCAAAACGAGGAAGCCAGCGTTAAGCATTGTTCCTGTGCACGACACGCAATTCTTCCCTCCTTACATTGGGTACTGTAAGCGACAAATCGCTTGGAAACCTTGAGCTAACTCGTTTCCACCGGAATCAACAATGTACAAGGCCGGCGCTGGATTACGGTACTAGTACAAATAATTAATTACAACGAATATGCAATACCTCAATAATCTGCGCTTCCCGCACTAACGTATCAACAACAGCAAGCAATCTATGGTCAGCTTCAAGACACGTGGAACTGCACTGTGACTTAAAACAGGCTTGCACAGGACCAATCAGAAGAGGACGCTAACGTGAGTCATGGGTGTTAGAATCCATGCATTACACACCGTGATGTCAATATGTTGCAATTCTATGTAAGGGGGGAACAAAACAGTAGGCCGCGCGAACCCAATAGTTTCAGTATGCGACCCCCATCCAGTCGCGTCAAACATGCATTCTGAAGTGCATCGACAACACATAGAGCGTTACTATGTGGAGCGATAAAGTTTGTTCTGAAATTGACAAAGCGGGTCGGTGTGCGATTGGATGTAGACCAGCCACGTTCTCAAAGTGCAAACTAAACAAATAATTCATTTAACATCAGAATACCTACTGTCTTGAACCAGGAAAAACCAAAGCTTGGTTTATGACAAGGAGAATAGTTTGCGTAAATGGTATTGGGAATTACAGCCAGAGGATCATTGAGCGGGATGAAGGTATTACGGGATTAGACATTCTGACTTCCTCTTCAGTAATTGTATGACGTATTGGATTTGATTTATTTGTAACAGATATATTCCGCTTAATAACCAGACCATGTTTATTCTACAAACGGCACACGAAAACAAATGGAAACGCTGAATTAATTCTTGAACCTGGACCATTTACACGGAGTAGAAAACGGTTGGGACAGAAGGTTTTGCAATATTATCCCTTAACCGTTTTTGTGAACACTGAGTGGCGAATGCGAAATAGAGAAAACTCACTTGCGTGCAGCTGAAGGTGGCAGCTAATCGTACTAGTATCGTCAGTGGGATATTTGGGCAGGGTTTGTCCTACACGTCTTTCCGGCTGGGGACCGAAGAAATGGAATGCGGATGGCGCGAGATGTTTGTACATATATCCCAAAGCCTAACAACGGATGCTCTATGAGTATTGTAGTTTTAATTTGACTGTTTTGTGCCGAATTCTTGAGGAAGACAAAAAAACTAGAAATGATGTGCGGTTGTTTTTCTTTGCTTTCCATGTTCGTGCGTCACGGGAAACATGCCACACAGGCAACGATTCCCGCTTACTTTTATTCCCCTACCTACGCGTTTATAGCCACGGCTTTGTCAGCAAACCAGTCGGACTGTTTGTAGCTTGCACGTGCTACCTCAGATGACGTCAGAGAAGGCTAACTGAGACAATGGAGCTGGCATTACCAATTTACTTCGCATTCCTCTGCACCCTAGGGACACGGGAATAAATTTGCATTGGTTTACAGTCGTTGAGAAGCCTCAGCTGTCTCACTCCTCGTGCGTTTTTGGATTGGGTTCAAGCAATCCTGATCGACGCATCCGAAGCCGATCTGCTCATAGTTGT